AGTGAGGGGGGGAGGGGGCAGATTTAAAATGTTGTGTGGTCCGCAAAATTTTTCCTTGCGCGAACTTTGCGTCTCGAGTCACTGGCGGCTTGGCCCCACCTGGGTTTTTGCCGGCCCCCTCTGACCGAAAATCCTAGCTACGCCTCTGCTATTATATTAATTATACGGTTCGCTTTCTTCGTCATATCAATGGAAAATGTGCCACTGCATTAAAAACGTAATTGGCAGTGCAAATGCAGTCTTGAAAAAAACTCTTGCAGAGATTTAATGTTTAAAAAAAATCCTGCAGAAAACAAATTCATGCCGGCCAAGAATTTGTGAAGCCCCTTATTTGTATATACTAGTTTGGCTTAAATGCTTTTCAACTCATTTGTTTTAAAAGCTATATGAGGGAGCCTTACTGCTTGTTTCAATAATGAACTAATCACGTGTCTATTGTTAGGCAGCTAACTCAAGTGTGTTCTTGGGCTTTCTTGAACATTATGAAAAAAGGGCCAAAAAACGATGTTTATTGACGTTTTCTGTTGACTCATGTATCCGTGTTTGAAGCTATTCAAACCTTTCCAATTCGCTCCTGGTCGTGTTTCAAGTGTCACGTTTCATGAAATTCAAAAAGAAAACATGCAACGTCTGCGTTATGACTTATGACTGTTATGTAGTGCAAATTTAAGTCCACACAGGTTTGTTTATATAATTTTGTTTATTCACATCTTGACATTTTAAGAATCTGGAATTTATTTTAAGCATTTTGCACATTTTTACTGCATGCCTTCAGTATTCTATACTATGTCTATGGAGTTCATGTTGTAAGTTCATGTCACTATATATAATACTTGTTTGACAACGGTTATGCTAATTTATGATTCGCACTTGTGGTGCATCAAATGATGGGTCGCCCATTGGCGGTGGACATCCTCGGGTCGGTTGTTCAAAAGCCGATTAGCCTAACCCTAGGTTAATCTAAAATTCAAATCAAGCTTGCTAAAAGGCTTGTTTATAAATTTGGAAATATTTCTTCAGAAATGTTGTCTGGACCAGTAGTATAGTTTTCTTCTCAGACATTTTGAAATAAACAGATGTGCAGAAATACATAAACTAAAACAGAGGGTTAGTGCGATTTCGACTTTGAACATGAACCGGCCTGTGGTGATTCCTCGTTGATATCAACACACCACCTATTTCGTGTTGAGCAACTTATTCGTACACATTTCAATGGACCCTGTTTACAGGAACCACAACGCGGATGACGTGCGCCGCATGATTCATACAACCTGCATCCATTGCCACCCTTGATACAGAAAAAGAAAGAAATGTTAAAATAATAATACTGATGTTCTTATATTGTCATGGAAGTCTCTAGTACTAACTGCATGCAGGGGCGTAGGAACGGGGGGGGGGGGGGGGGGGGGGGGCAAAAAATTTTTAGATGCCCCTTTTTCGAAACAGCCCCTCAACGCCTCCCCCAACTTTTCGAAGGTTCCTACGCCCCTGACTGCATGTTTATAAATATTTACGAGCCCGCAAGTAACGTTTATGGACACGATTGCATGGAAATGATAAAGTACATGATTGCAAACCAGTCCATTATTCATGAATGTCACAGTACACATTTCAGTTAGCCTCATCACAGACAAGATCCAGAAGGCATTGGATTGTCTATGGTTCCATGTGTGCAAAACGTCTCACAAATCCTTCTTTTCGTTAGTTCGTTATTCTCAATTTTCTTCCGGAGCCTGCACATGACATGGTGATAGGTGTGAACGCCAACATAGGGGTACGAGTGCAGGTAGTGGTTACAATATAGAAAGGAATTAAGGAGAGTTTTGGTGTTTAGTACTATAGGATATAGAGTCATGAGAATAACAAAATTGTGTTAAGTTATATACTACTAATTAAATTCAGTGTAATAAACTTATGACAACATCAACATATATTTTCAGGATACATTTAAGATGGACTACGACTACACGTAACTTCTCGACGACTTGGAGGGTAAGGTTATTTAGAGATATCTAACCTCCCCTGCTCACTATAGGTCACTTACTAGCCATATACCGCTGGCAAATGTAACCATTGTCATCACTATCACAGCAACAATGAAGAAAAGATAAATCTTGCGAAATTTCATCTCTGACTGAATTTCTTCTCTCTTTACTTTCAGGAGCTTCACTCTTCAACAACTTTTAGATATCTGAATCTTGTCGAATAAAACGATCTTCTCTTATATACACCATTATTTCAGTAATTGCAATAAATTTAATTATGAACATTCATTTACGAAATTATAATCATTATTTAATTAAGTTTTAAACCAATAAGTAAACCAATAAGTATTATCATTAAAATATATATAATCTTTAGAAAAACAATATATTGACCACGGTCGCCTTTCTGCATTAAAACAGCGTTAGGGTAGGGATTGAAAACTAATTTGAACTGTTCTAGAAATCCTTGATATAAAGATTAGAGTTTTTGTATCGATCATTCCAAGTACAAACGAGCCGATTAAAAATTATTTAATTAAGTTTTAAACCAATAAGTAAACCAATAAGTATTATTATTAAAAATATTAAATATATACAATCTTTTAAAAAAACAATATATTGACCACGGCCGCCTTTCTGCATTAAAACAGCGTTAGGATAGGGATTGAAAACTAATTTGAACTGTTCTAGAAATCCTTGATTCATTAATTGAAATCTTGTTCAAAATGTCGGGAAAATCCAAGTTCTATAATGCTCATTAGGGACCGGTCATTATTTATGGTGGGGGGTGGCACCGAAGAGAAATGTTTTTCGTAGCAAAAATTTTGCTGACCCAACCATTACAAAGTCAAAAATTTGATTACCCAACCTCAAATATCAAGTAAAAGATAAATACCCACCCCTGGCCAAAATTAAACTTTACAAAAGATTACCATTCAGTTGTCACATATGTCCTTTACCCGATTTCTGTGACACTGAGGAGTTTGATAACTGCTTGTGAAATTTGCTGCAGTCTAATGTATCATGTTGTCTGCACATGTGCTTTCTTTGGAGACACCATTTGTCTTCTAACAAATTGGAAAATGATCAAGACAGTGACTGATTGATTCACATATTGTATTGACATATGACTATAACTTTTTATTACTCAACCCTTGAGTTGTTTTGTTTTTCATTTACCCAACCTTTTACTTACTCAAAATTTAGTTTACTCAACCATTTTCTCTTCGGTGCCACTCCCCGCCATAAATAATGACCGGTCCCTTAGAACTTTTCAAAGCGGCAAAGTCGGCAATAATTAGTAAACCTAGTTGCCCAGTTGCCGCTAACATTTTGCTAAGTATAGAAAAACAATATATGTACAGTATATATGATCAGTTATATTGTTTCATATGCATAAATGTCATCAGGGACGCCGGAACTGGGAGGCAGGAGGGGTAGCTGCCCCTCTTGCCCTTTACCAGGAGGGGCAAGGGGGGCGAAGGTGGCCTTTTGATTAAAAGAAAATATTTGTTATTAATAGAAAGAATTCGTTCTTGTTATTATAGAACTAAATAAACTATATGATATAACAAACTTTTGCTGGAAAACTGTAAGAAATGTATGGAAATTAAGTTTATATGATTCCAGTGTTGTTCCAATTTGCCGTTAACGTGCGTGTCACCTCATATTTTTGGCAAAGACCTCTGAAAAAAAATTTTGGCCGAGAAGGAGGGCGAAGATAAAATAACTGTAAAGCGATAACAATATATCAAAAGTAAAATTACTTAAAAGAACTTGATTTAAACGAGCCTCTACTGTATATAGCTCAAATTTCGCGTACGACAACAGTCATTTTGGGCATTTTTGGCTGAATTCTTTTGTGCCAGAAATGCAGTCATTGAGCTTCAAAAATATCAAAATCTTCTGGGGGAGAACCGCAGACCTCCATATTTCTTTACAAATCAGAAACGTGATTACGTCCTTTAATTAATATATATCAACTCAAAAGTGCCCTTCGACGAAAGTCTGCCCCCTTTGCCCTCTCGTCGTTCCGGCGTCACTGAATGTCATAGAAGGGGCAGCTGGGGCCCGTTTACATATAAAATGCTTTTTTGTTAGGCTTATTCTATAATTACGCTTCTTTCACCTCTTTAATAGCAATAAAATTAATTTTCACAACCAAAAAATCTTCTTGTATAACAATCAAATTGTTGTAATGATGTTTTAGATATATTTTCCTATATTAACCCACTGAAACTAAGAAAAATGAGGGAAAAACTCAATTTAAAATGACAACATTTATCTGCTTTGTGTCTGTCGTACCTAGCGATATATTATGCATACATACATACATACAAAAAACGTACCTAGCGATATATTATACATACATACATACAATTTATTTAAGCACGCTGGCCTCAACAACTCGGAGCTGATTTCCATGAGGGACGTGATTTGGAGAAATATACAGTACAGGTAAACATTAAAAATACAAAAACAAAGAAAGAAGAACTACATATACAGTAGGCAACAGGACGAGCCAATTGTAAGTGTTTGCCTGATTAATAGTTCTTTGATTAATAGTTCTTATTTATATTATGGAGAAATCCAACCCGTCTACTCTTGTCTACAATTTAATTAGTAGTGATATTTCATGGATAAAGTATGAGGAGCTGCCGAAATCTTTATCCCATTTACAGATATGCCTGGTTATCGGTCCAGTCAGGTCAGCGTTTTCTCGCGCGGTGCATGTGGTTCTTTTCTCTATTTTTTCGTCCATCTCCCCTCCGAATAGGAGAAACTTAATTTGTATTGCTATTTCCGAAAGTGCTATTACCAAGCCACCAGAACCAAAGAGATAACTTCTTTATTTAACCGTTATTTGTCGATAAAAACAAATTTTACGCTAATGTTCATTACCGGCTTCGCGTTTTGGGAATACGAATCACAAACAAAATGCATGAAAGAGCACATTAATTTGATTTAGTACTTATATTAAACGAAAGGTAGTGATGGAATAAAACATGCAACGTAATGTACTGCAACAAATTTCATAATACAGATAATAAAAGTTCAGTAAGTTATAGAATGGAAATCTGTACAAATATACATGAATTATTTAACTATCTTGGAAAAAGTTAATTTGTGTGGATGCCAAGCCCTAGTTGCTACAACACGCTAGCAAACTTGGTAACTATTTCTGCAACTTCTCGCAGGGTAATAAAGAGAGATGGACGTCTTGCCTTTCAACGACAAATGATCTTTTCTGCAACGTATACTCATCGAGAATAGCGATGATCACATTTTCACAGGAAAATTTTGAGCAAGCAGTGTCTTCATTGTAAGTCCCAGAGCTTGGATGGATTTGTTTTCTGCTTCTTCTTCTTCTTACAGCAAAGACGGTTGCAAAGCCTGAAGTGGAAAAATATTTCGTATGAGGATCGAATGCGAATGCGGAGATATGTGAAGGAGTGAGGAAGACGTATTGAGAAGAAAGAAAGGTAAAATTAGAGAGTTGAAGATAGATTGAAGGCGTTAAGGGAGGGAGTAAGATGGAGATGATGGAAGGAACGAAGAAAGGGTAGACGGATAATAAGAAGGAAAGAGTGAGAGGAAGGGATGACTGATGGAAAGAAGGAGGAAGGGACGCAAGGAGAAAGAGGGGATAAGGAAGGAGGAAAGAGAGAAAGGGGGAATGACGGATAGAAGTTAATTTTAATTAAGTTTAATTAGTCAGGCATGGCGAGCGGACGTGTCTTTCGACGCTACGTTTAAATACTTCAACTTGCCAGCCCTAGGTCAATAATTTTACTTTATAAAGCTACAAAACTAATAAATAAATGCTCTGAATAGCGTCTTATCACGACTACATCAATGGCTACGAGGCAGCTGAAACAACAAGTTACGGATATTATCATGAAGGATAATGATCTTCTTAAACTAATTGCTGAAGCGGTGTCTTCGCTAATAGTGGAAAAACTATCTAGTGACAAAGACACGATCATAAAGGTTGCAGAAACCATAACCAAGCAACCAGAATTTGAGAATGCCTTAAAAACGAATCTAAG